GGCTACCTTGTCACCGAACGAGAAATCAAAGCGAACCCAAAACAAATTTTGGCTTTCCTCAAAATGCCATCTCCCAAAACAACTCGGGAAGTGCAACGTTTGACCGGCCGAGTGGCAGCCCTCAACCGGTTCATCTCGCGGTCAACCGACAAGTGTCTCCCATTCTACCAGCTCCTCAAAGGAAACAAAAAATTCCAGTGGGATGAAAAAGGCGAGGCACTAACCCAACTCAAAACCTACATCACCGAGCCCCCCATCCTAGCCAAACCCATCAAAGGAGAACCCTTATACCTCTACACAGCAGTCTCTCCAGCTGCAGTAAGCGGTGTGCTAGTTCGGGAGGAACTCAATGAGCAAACACCAATTTTTTACGTAAGCAAAATGCTTATCGACGCCGAGACTAGGTATCCAGCCATGGAAAAACTAGCACTAGCTGTAGTAATGTCGGCTCGCAAGCTCCGACCTTATTTCCAGTCGCACTCAATCGTGGTAATGACCTCGTAACCATTGTGAACCATACTTCACAGCCCCAGCCAGTCGGGATGCCTCGCAAAATGGCCATCGAGCTCAGCAAATACGACATCGAATATCGAACCAGGACATGTGCTAAGGCCCAGGTCCTGGCAGACTTTATGGTCGAGCTAGCTCCAGAAGCCAGCTGCGAAAACCCATCCTCCAAAACTTGGACCCTCTACGTCGACGGAGCATCCTCTAAACAAGGCTCCGGAGTCAGGGTCCAGCTTACCTCCCCAACCGGAGAAGTCATGGAACAACGAGTCCGAGTACGAAGCACTAATAACCGGGCTCCGACTCGCAATCGGCGTCGGTGCAAACGAGATCAAAGCTCACAGCGACTCGAGACTCGTAACCGGCCATTACAGCGGCGAATACGAAACAAGAGAAGAACGCATGGAAGCCTACTTGGCCATAGTTTGCAGCCTTGCAGAACAGTTCACTCGTTTTGAGCTTGTCCATATACCCCAAGGAAAAAACACGGCAGCAGACGCTATGGCAGCTCTAGCTTCCACCTCGGACCCAGTAATAAAGCGAATAATCCCAGTCGAAAGCATTGAGAAACCTAGCATAGACCTAGCACTCAAAACTCCGACTGTGAATGCAATCACCACGCGACCATCGACCCGGTCGCAAACGCAACAATCCCAAGACCCATGACCCTCTAACACAGCCAGTCACCCCGACGAGGATGAGCCGGCTAACTCTACACCAGAGGACGCGGAGTCGAACCCAACTTTCTCACAATGTACTCAGGAATCAACAATCCACACAGTACCGACTGTACTCGCAGACGAATCAACTTTCAAAGACAAGTTTGTCGCAAGAGCAGACTGGAGGATACCCATCCTCGAGTACATCATAAATGGGATAGCTCCCCGCGACAAGTGGGACGCTCGAAAGCTCAAGGTCAAAAGTGCCCGCTACAGCGTGTTATTCAATAGCAAGCTATACAAGCGAAGTCTATCCGAACCTTACCTTAAGTGTGTACACGCTGAGGAAGCTACACCGTAATGTCCGACACTCAACAAGGCCCCTGCAGAAGTCACGCTGGAGGTCGAGTGCTCGTCATTCGAATCAAAAAACTTGGCTATTTCTGGCCGACCATGATAGCGGACTGTCAAAGACTATTCAAAAGCTGCGACAAGTGTCAAAGGCATGCGCCGATCATACACTGTCCAGCAGAAAGACTGTCATCGATCTCCGCACCCTATCCATTCATGAGATGGTCAATGGACATAGTAGGACCCATGGTCTCCTCAAGACCGAAGCAATTCAGGTACCTGCTGGGGCTCACTGACTATTTCACTAAGTGGATAGAAGCTAAAGCATATCAGCAAACGACCGAGCTCCAAGTGCGCGGCTTCATCTGGAAAAATGTGATTTGCCGTCACAGACTCCCTTACGAAATCGTGACGGACAACGGTTCACAATTTATCTCGCGAAATTTCAAAGACTTCTGCGCGAAGTGGAAGATAAAAATCTCCTACTCCACACCTCGTTATCCTCAAGGAAACGGGCAAGCCGAAGTAACAAACAAAACCATCTTGAGTAACCTCAAGAGACGGCTCGATGCCAAGAAGGAGAGGTGGTCCGAACACATCTCGGCCATCCTCTGGGCTTGTCGAACCACACCTTATAAAGCAACCAGCGAAACACCGTTTTCACTATCTTACGGGCTGGAAGCTGTGATCCCAACCGAAACTGCAGTTCCCAACCTTCGTCGGACTCTGTGTCCGATGAACACCAAATTAAACGAGCAGCTCTTGAGGGACCAGCTCGATCTGATCGACGAACGTCGAGATCAAGCACTGATCAGGATCCAAAATTACCAGCAGGCCGCAGCTCGCTACTACAATTCTAAGGTCAAACACCGAAGATTCAACGTAGGAGACTTGGTCCTGCGCAAGGTACAAGACTACACCAGAGAGCCCGGTGCTGGGAAACTAGGAACCAACTAGGAAGGTCCCTATCGCATCACCGAGGTAGTTCGCGACGGCATCTACAAGCTCACGAAATTACGAAACGGGGTGCCCGAGATAAGAACTTGGAACGTAATGAACCTCAAAAGGTATTATCGCTAAAGCACTTTTAACAATCGAACTACGTTATGGCTTGATCCCCTTATAGGGTACGTAGGCAGCTCGACCCACGAGTTCAGCCACCATTTTTTTTTTATCAAACTCTTATTCCACAACATGACAACATCAATAGGCGAGCTATGCGCGACGACCCTACGTTGTATCATTTCCTTTATTCGTTTTTATTCGGAATAACAATTATTTTACGTCAGCAACAATTATATTTGTCAAAACCGAGATCATGAACCAAAACTGTTCGGACCACCCTCGTCATACATATATAAGCTAAAAAACATTAAAACAAAATCGAGCTCCACTAGCTCGCCTCCGAGGTCAAAACATAGCCCGCCCACCCACACCTCGTTCAAGTAAGCTCCACCTCACGCATCACTCAGTCGTTCGGAAGGGGGGGGGGGGGGGGGGGGGGGGGGGGGGGGGGGGGTAAAGTCCTATTCCACTGACCTCGAAGCCCAAGCACTGCTAACCTCCCACACCTCGACATAAGTGAACTACAGTACAAACGTACCTCACTCCTTCGGCGAGGAGGGGGAACCACCTATCCTAGATGCCTTTCCAAGCAGCACAAGGTACACACTTCTCATTTCGCAAAACAACTAAGTTTGGAATCCTACTCCACTTCACAAGTGCAGCCAGATTTACAATTCAACTTCAACCATAGTCGGAGCTCCGGACCTCGAATCGATGAGCCCAACGCAGCTCGCAGTTCGATAGGGACGACCGAGCCCTATGTCTGGAACTCCGAACAAAATCGAACCCCCTTCTCTATCTCAAAGCCGAAAGCGAGAAATCCCTAGCTCAAAAGAAAGCAAACTCCACCTCGAACACCGAAGCTTCACCGCGAAGCAGTTTGGTCCATATTCTAAAAACGAAAGAAAAGTCGAGCTAAAAAACTTAGCCATTTTTCCAGAATAAATAGATCGCCCTTCGCGACCTAATCATTTTATCTAGACCCGATATCGAGCATCGAACTCATGACTAGTGACCTAAGCCTCGAGCTTAACAATCCTAGTCTGCCTCCCTAAGTTATTAAACGACTTAGCAAATATCCTACTCGAACAAAAAATGCAAGAGACAAAAGATAAACAAAATTTAAGGCGTAAAGCCCAATTGCATTAAACAAAAGCCCTTTCGGGCACAGATGAGTTCGAAAATTAAAAAGGATTAAAGCCCTCCGGGCAACCAGAACAAGCGTAAAAGCCCCGTCGGGCAACCATGTTCGAAAATTAAATTTAAAAAGAGGAAGACAAAGGGAAAGGAGCCACGGCCAGCTGTCGAGCTAGCCACACGCCTTCTCGTCGTCATCCTCCCTCCTCGCCTCGTCGTTCCCTCCTTCCTCCACATTCGTACCAAACTGATTAAGACCAGCAGGCGCACCCGAAACCGGGTCGACGTCCATAACCACCGAGTCCTCCGAGATCACGAGGAGATTGAGCCTGCTGATCGAGAAATCTGAGACCTAGGCAGCCTTAAAAGCCACTCCCAAGTCCTCCTCTTCTTTGATCACCCTCTCCAGCTCCTCCTCAACAGTAGTGGCCTTCGCGGCGAGCTGCTCGAGCATCTCCTTGTTGGCAATGCATTCCTGGAGATCGCACTCGGCCACGCCCTCGGCCTTCTTCCTTTCCCACTTCAGCTTGAAGCCCTCGACCACCTCCATGAACTTCCGAGACATATCCTTCCGGATCTCACGGCCCGCTTTGCGGACATCACTCTCGTGTTCACGGACCAGACGGAGATTCTCCTCCTGGTAGGCCGCGGCCTCGCGTTGAGCCTGCACAGCTTCATATTGGGCCTCGAAGATCTGGTTGGTGGCAACCTTGAACTTCTCACCCTTGTCGGCCAGCTCGATCTCGAGGTCAGTGATGTGAGCTTGCTGGCCCTTATATTTCTTAAGGAGTCTAGTCTGGCGAGCGACCTGTGCGTTCGCGGCCTTTAGGTCGGACTTCAGCTTGCCGACTACCTCCTTCATTTCCTTAATCTCGTCCGGGTGTGGAACGTCTCGTAGCCTTTGCTCCAGTCGAGCATAGAGCTGGTTCCCAGTCTCCGCCGCCTGCGAACATCAAGAACCAAAGCGTTAAGGTAAATGACACTTAACCAAACTTACACAAAGAAAAAGGTATTCTCGTACCATCTCCTGGGCAGCCGCCATCTCCACGTAGAGCTCCCTCTCGGTCATTTTCTTGAGAGCTGGAAGTTGGCACCCAGCAGGCTTGAAATGACGTCACATGGCCGCCATGCCCTCGGAGTCATCCGTGATTAAATGATCTTTGGTGTGCTTGAATTTTCAGTGGAAGGACCGACTATCCGTCGAGCCACCACTCACATGTTCTTATTTAAAAATTGTCAACTACACAAAGAAAGCAATTATTTGTGTGGGCTGTTTTGTAGGCACGGGCCCCGTTCAAGGGACAAGAAACCCAAGCGGATCTAATGTTTGTGAAAAGTGCAGCCGAGATAACGAATGCGGCAATGGGGAAAGTGGTACTAGCGTTCATAACTGCAGGTGGAGATAAGGAAATGGATTTTGCACGTACTTTTTTCGTCGCTCGAGGGAAGGCTCTAATACTTGCCACCGAAAGACATGATGTCATTACAGTAGCCGTAGGTGAACCGATAATCATGTATATTGATTATGAACATGGAACTACCATGTTGAGGTACATTGGTTCCGCAAGGTATTTTTCTATACCACTCTTTCAGTTTTGATCTCTCATATTAATATTATTTTCCATATATTAAATAACTATTTAATTACAGATCGCCCTCCATTAAAATAAGCTCTGTAATCACTCTCACTGGGCCACTTGTAGCCACTAAGGCTGCTGTATTCTCAGGCAGAGGACCCAATTCGGTATCTCCATACGCCCTCAAGGTAAAAACTTAATCTCAAATCATATTAACGATACTTGTATAAATATCAAACGTAATCATATGCACCCAATTCTACATTTGATTAAAATCATACCAACGTCATATTTGCAGCCTGATATAGCAGCTCCAGGTGTGGCCATACTGGCTGCTAGTACCCCATTAGAAACAGGAGCTGAGGAAGGATTCATCTTTAAGTCAGGAACTTCAATGTCCACACCTGTGGTCGCCGGTTTGGTTGCACTCCTTCGAGCCGTGCATCCTGACTGGTCTCCTGCCGCACTTCGATCGGCTCTCGTCGCTACAGGTAACGTATAAGCGACTCCTTAATTCGATTATGATACACTTGTAATGTTCTGTTTTCTGCTCTGTTTTTCCCCATACATTTTGTCCTTTAACTTTTCGGTTTGGCAATGCAAATGTTATAAGAAAAAGACATATAGTGATCTAACGAGGATGATTCTTTCTCAATTGGTCTAGCATCCACAACGGATCCATATGGAGAACCTATCTTCGTGGAAGGATTGTCACGAAAGCTTGCCGACCCGTTTGACTTCGGTGGAGGACTGGTGAATCCGAATAAACCCTGGTCTTGTTTACGACGCATGCACAGATGACTATCTGCTTTTTCTATGTGCTTTTGGTTACGACGAGGCATCCATCACGAAGATTGCCAATAAAACGACGCTATATGAATGTCCGAGTCCAAGCCCATCCATGCTCGATCTAAACTTGCCTTCCATCACCATCCCATTCCTCAAAGAAGATGTGACACTCACTAGGACCGTCACCAACGTCGGACCTGTCGACTCTGTCTATAAACTCGTCCTTGGGCCTCCTTTGGGTGTCAAGATCTCCGTCACACCCAACACCTTGGTCTTCAGCTCCGGTGTGAAGAAACTCAGCTTCCAGGTCACTGTTTCCACAACGCACAAAGCCAATTCTATTTACTATTTTGGGAGTTTGACCTCCCGCGTCATCTCTCGGCCTCTTAGAGGCGGGCTGGAAAGTCTGCTCGGGTCTTTGGTCATCAGTGGGCTGCTGGGTTTTGCCTGAGCTCACGGAATCGTTCCCACCAAATTGCGAGGGGGGTCAGGCTGCGGATCCATCATCTGCTCAACTTCCTCGTCACGGAGTTGAGGTGCGGAAGCAGAATCTGTGGCAAACGCGGCCTCAAGGGCCTCTTTAACGCTCCCCGAGCGTACCCTAGAGCTGCTCGGACCAGCCGGGGCTTTCCTGGCTCTTTGATGGAAGGTGGGCTTGCGAGACATTTCTGAACTTGAACTTGCTGAACTAGAAGAAGGTAAAAGAGAGCGGAGAGGAAGAACTCCAGCTGCCAGCAAAACAAGTCAGAACATATCATTCAGCAAGCAGCAATCATTACGATAAGCTCACCAAGAGATAAGGAACCAAGACCTACCGGGTGCGACAATCGGAGTCGGGGCTGGCGATGAAAGAACTCGTCGAACTCGTTCTCGTGTGAATGTGCTCCAGACAACCTCTCCTCGCCTGAACAGCTCTAGCCGGTACTCGATATCAGGATCCTTGGGTGCTCTGGACAGCTGACCTGATACACAAAAACCAGTAAAAGGTCAGAAAACTTAACGAGCATACCGAAGCAGACATAGCTAGCGAACACTCGAGCCTAGCTAAACAATCGTTGTCCGCAAACTCGATTGGCAACCGGGAAAAGTCGAAGTCTCCGACGGAAGCTTCGTTAATCCGGAATTTAAACCTGGTCTTCTCCCAACCAGAGTCCTTCTCTGGACTCTCCTCAATGAACCGCCGGTTTGACCTCGGGGATGCATAGAAAGTCCCAGGACGGCGGGCGCTGTACTTGACGGAGAAGAACGCCCTCAGATCCGAGTAACGGAAGATGACGTTCTCCTCCTTGGCCCGTACGGCACATTCGATGATGCCCCGAACCAGGTTCAGGCACATCTGCGGGAAAGCCAGCCGCAAATCTGCCAACACCTCGAGGACAAATCGAGGGATTGGGAAAAACAACCCGCAGTCCCGGAAGTACGTCGTGTATGCACAGCAAAAACCTTGCTCCACGCTCGCCGGAGTCTCCGTTGGCATCAAGACCGCCAACTCCACCCCGTCTGGGATTTCACATTCTCGACGGAAGTCGTTGATAACTACTTTCTTTGCAAGGGTGAGGATGCAATGAGGCTATCAAACTCAAATGCAACACTTAGGTTGTAGTACAGTATGCAAGTGAGAGTCAATCCATTTCTAGGAGCTAGGAAGATCAAAGAGAATGCAAAAGCAGTGTAAATCTAAGTGAATAACAGGCGGTTTGTAAAAATCCTAAAAACTATATGCAGCAACCAAATGAAATGCAGATCTATTTTCAAAATACCAGGAATGATTAAACTACCATGGGGAACAAACGGAATAATTAAAATGCAAGGCTATGATTTAACAAAAATCGACTAGTGGATCGACCACAGGATCAACCACTAGATCGAGCAGTTTGGATCGATCTCGTCTAAAAATGCAAGCATGAAGAAACTAATGACCAGGATGCAGAAAATATCAAGCGAATGACTAACGAAGATGTAAGAATGCTAAGAGAGAAGGGTCTAGGGTTGAGATTCATGGTCCGGGGGTTCAAGGGTCCAAGTTAGGGTTGAAAACATTAAATAGACTCACTTTGTGAGATTCTCTAAGCCTTGAAAATGAAAACAAGATCCATCCGTGGTTTTCGGTATGGATCACTCCTTCATCCTCTCCTCCAAACCCATGGCTTCTGGTGGAAAGAGAGGTTGAAGGGCAAGGAACGCAGATTTCAAACACACGGCCTAACTAGTCCCCTAAACTTCCATGGCTTTTGGGAAAAGGTAACTAGTCTCTAGGATGTGATTTTCAGAGATCTCTGGATCCTGTCAAGGTAAGAAACCTCTCTGATCATAAAGATCTTGGCGTGAGAATCTTTAAGCCATAGGGACTCAACATCCTAGAAGAGAAAGCCATTAAGAACAAGAAAACTACCAACTTGAAAACCCCTTAGACCCCGTGAATCCTCTCAACCCCGAGACCCAAATGAAACTACTCGCTACACATCAGAACAACCGAAATAAACATGAAAGATGAAGCGATGAACACGAAAAGCGATTACTTAGAACTTAAACGATTCGAAATTATTCAAGAACAAAAGCTCAAAGTGTAACAATGGCGGATGATCCCCAAAACCAGAGAGAAAAGCATAAAAAAATAAGGATGAAAAAAGTGTGTGGAAAAAGACATCGCCGCCTTCCCAAAATGGCGAAAACAGCTCGATGGTCTCCCCCTCGCTAGCGGCCAAAAGCGGTTGAAAGGACAGAGATCGACTTCGGGATCGAATGGCTCTCTCGATCACTTTCGGACATCGTGACTTCAACTCGGTCTGGGTCTTGATCATCTTCGGCATATCGAGTGTTGCATCCGATCTTGGTATCGGTCTTCGGTTGGATCGAGTGGTGGACTCGATCCGGCTCTCGCTCTGCATGGCGTCATTTACGTCTGTACCATTTGATCGATTGCTCCACTCGATCTCTGTCTCTATCATTCTCCTTGGATCGCCTGATCTTCTCGATCTTCTGGTCGATCTCATCTAGATCGACCTGCCATGCTCGATCTGCTCCCCGATCTCTGGTCCTTAGCAAACATCCGACCTTCCACGAACCGCCACAACAGCTTCAGCACGTCCACGAACCTCCACGACTCCAAAGTAGCCAGAAATAACCTGAATATGATGCAAAATGCAAGGAACATGCGTATGCTGGTGCGAGAATGCTCTAGGACCCTAAGTGATGCAATATAGTCTAAAGCGTGATGTAAATGCATGAAAAGCTAACTAATATGTATGCAAAATACATGTAATATGCAGTAACATCAGTCGTCGAGAGCGTTCTGGTCAATCTTGGAAGGGCCTACGGCTGTCCTTATGGATTTTTCCCCTTCGATCTTCACTATCGCCGACATCGAAAAGAAGTTCTCGAAACGAAGAAAGCACGCAAAAGTTTCCTACTCGATTTCTAAAAAAAGGGAAGCGACGGATGGAAATTGTAGAAAATTGAATGAAAAAGAGAGAAGAGGAAGTTACCTTTAATCGACAGACAGAAGCGGTTAAAGAAGGAGTGGAGAAGATAGACTTTATATCAAGGTAATTATTATCAACCTCGAAGATCGCAGGGAATCTGGCCACGCGCCAATCTCGACCATCCTATCTTCCGATCTCAACCGTTGAATATTCGACCTCGACGATTTGACGCGCTGTGCAACTTGATCGATCGAGGCCATTAGATCGATTTCCTCTCTCCCCATCCGGATCGTCCACGTCATCAGGCCTCAGTGCGAATCTTCTTGAGGGATGCACCTTGCCCCGGGAAGCTTGACCGCCGAAACAGAAAAGTAAATGATAATATTTACTCCGAATCTCGACTGTCCACCTGGATGAGATAATAACAGATTTATCTCGACACGCCAAGTTATGGTCTCGAGGTCGATTCTCGACCGCATGATCAATAAACTGTTCACCTTTCCAATATCTTAACCGTCGATCTCGAATGATTATCTGACTCCGTGACGTCAGCATAATCAAACATCAAATCTTTCAAGAGTCCCATCTTGCCGCCCATTAAAGCTCTAGCTCGCTCTCGTTAATGGGCTGGGGGGCAATTGTTGGAGCTGGATTTGATACCCCAAATCCGGCCCACTCAAGCCCAACGGGCAGATCTGAACTAAGCCTAAAAGGCTGGGCTTCAACTTTACGGCCCAGGCCTATTCACCTTTCGACAGCCCGATCTTGAGCAACAATTCATTCCGTTCGACGAGGTCGAGCTCCAGCTCGACCAAATCCCAAAAAAATGAGGAAGAATCCGAGCCAAGTCAGAGCATATTCTCACCAGTTCGAACCAGTCCGAAGATCGCAGAGGAAGTTGCTGCACGTGGCGAGATATCCAGCTAAGGCTGCTGCACGTGGCCGAGATACGCGCTGGAGTTCAAAGCTCGACGAAGCGAGCTATATAAAGAAGGAGAACGGCTTAAGTTCAGGGGACCTAGGGCTTGATCTTTTTACACACTTTTACATCCGAAAACACTGTAGCTGCTCCCAGAGCTCTTTTCAGTTCATCTTTTTCATTGAGATCTTTGTAACCGTTTCATTCAACCGATTAATACAAAATTCTTATTTCAGCTAGTGCTAGCTTATATTGTCAATCTATTCGAGGGAATCTAGCCCTCAATTCTTCTAAGTTTCTTTCCTTACAAAACACATAAATTTCTTAGTGTGGATTTCTGCATCCACATTTGCATTTGCATTTTGCATGTTTCTTGCATATATGCATCATTATCAGGTTGTTTGGAGCACTATGAAGTTGCGGAGGCTATGTGGACGTGAGGAGGTTCAAAGTGGAGCTCATGGATACTTGGAGAACTCAGACGTGCATGCTAAGGACCCGAGATCGAGTAGCAGATCGAGCAAGGCAGGTCGATCTAGATGAGATCGACCAGAAGATCAAGTGCATCTAGTTGATTCAAGAGGAAGGATCAAGACCAAGATCGAGATAGAAGATCGATCTGAAGTACGGACGTAAAAGACGCCATGCAGAACGAGAGCCAGATCGAGACCAAGACTCGATCATCCAAAGATCGAGAAGTAGATCGAGGAAGATACTCGATCCCTCCAACCAGATCGACCAGAAGATCGAGCGGAGCAAGGCGATTCCTGAAGATGATCGAGCATATTGGTCGATCTCAAGGTCGATCCCAGACGAGCTTATCCGTCCAGCTGTCTTTGGCGGCTTGCGAAGGGGGACCAGCTAACGGTTTAGCCATTTTTGAAAAAAGCAGCCTTCACCTTTATCTTATCTTCATTCTGTCTTTTCCTTTATCTCTCTAAG